GTACCTTTTCAGTGTAAGTTCTAGGAGGGGGAAATCTACGCTCGAGCGGACTGGTTTTCGCGCTCGAGCGGATTTGCTTTATTCTTATGTCTTGGTGCTTGAGCGGGTCTTCTTGCGCTCGAGCGTACCTAGTTTTTTGTTCTTGACGCTCGAGCGTTGTGTTCTCCGCTCGAGCGGGAATGTCGTATATCAGTTGGCAGTTGGGTGTTTTAAATTCACTTTTTATATTCTCTCTCTCTCTCTCTTACTTTCTAAAAAGCCATTTGAGAGCTTCTCTCTCTAGAACCTTGCCTTCTCTCTAGGTATTGACCTAATAAGAGTTGTTTCCTCACCTTTGGCCTTTACAAAAAAATTGTTGATCGTCGAGGGCTATCCTTTTATCCGAGAAACTCGTGGTTTGGAGCAACTTCGTTTTCACCATCTTCTTCGTTGGGTGTCATCTTTTGAGGTAGGGATTCCTACTCACTCTTATGGGTTTTAACCTAGATTTTGAGCTTATTGTTTAAATGGTTGATTTTGGGACTTAGGGTTTCAAAATGTATTAAAGAGGGTTTTGTGATTTTGGACTCATAATATGTATTTTGGGTTTCAAAATGAGGATATAGTTGTTGGTTGGTGATATTTGGACCTTTGAGTTGATATTGAGAGTTGGGGGTAAAAGCCCTAATTTGTTGTTTAAAATTAATTGGTATAATTAATTTGGGGAAAATTGTAGCTATATGGAATTGAGTTGGGAATAATGAAATTGACTCGGTGTATGGTTGAATAGTGGAGTTAGATTTATTAATCGCTCACTTTTGAAAACATTGATATTTTATCTGTTGGAGCTTTTATTATCTGTTTAGAAATAATTGCTTGGGCTACCGGTGGAGGGTAGTTTGATTGTTGTAGACAATGCATGATGATTAGGAAAACTAAAACTAATCAATTGGATGTGTCATAGAGTATGACGGTTGATAGAATACATTGACGTTACGTATTGATTGATTGTGTATATTACCATTGTGTATATATGTTGTGTGTGTGGGAGGAGATAGGGGATGTACTCCACGGTTTAGGGGAAGATAGGGGATGGACCTCTAAACCGGATGTTGTTTGGGAGGAGATAGGGGATGGACTCCACTGACACAGCTCATATGCTTGTCAGATAATGTGTTGATACAGCTCATATGCTTATCTTGGAAGTATTGATACAGCTCATATGCTTATCATTGGAAGTGTTGATATACCTAATATGCATATCTGTTGAAATGTGGATACAGCTTGTATACTTATCTGTTGAGATGTTGATACAACTAATATGTTTATCTATTGTAAAATGGGAAGTGTTTAATATGAGTCATTGTCTCATATAAGTGGTTGGCCAGGTTCTGAGCCGTTGATGTAAATTGTGAAATTGATAAGGAATGGAAACTGAAATAAGACATGAACATTGTGGTCATGAAATGGAAATGGGTTATGAATTGGTTTATAGAAATTGAACATTTATCAATTGTTAATGTCTTAGTTATTGCTCATACTGTGTTTAACATATCTCTACTGGGCGTTGGCTCACCCTATATGGGACATTATTTTCAGGTACAAGTAGTATGCCACCTCCAAGGACATAGCTTGGATGAAGATGAGAGTTGAAGACTCTTTTTGTTTATTTTGATGTATTACATGTAAATTCAAGCCAAGGGCTTAATATGTATTGAGTTAGTACTCCTCTTTTTGTAACCAAGTGTTAACTTGGAAAGCTGTAAGCCCATAGGGCATTTGCTTTTGTTGTTAACATGTAATACAGTTGTAAGAATTACTCTTATGAATAGAAATGGTTAGTTTCTTTTATATCAATGCATGTCTATAGTGATGGGTTTTATGTATTTTTTTTTGAGGGCGTTACACTTCTTGTATGCAATTTAAATCAGCACTGGTGTCAATTAAAGCTATGACTTCAATTTGAAAATCATTAACAATGAGTTTGATTTTTGAATATGGATTTGGTTAACGATGTTAAGTTGAGACGATTACTTTCTTGATCACTATGGGAATGAGCGGATTTATTGAAGATAACTCGACTAGAACTAGACTCCTCTGAGGATGCTTCATTGGTAGTTTGGAAATCATTAAAACTTTATTAAGTTTTAATATGGAAATTTCTTCTTCTAAGGATTTATCTTTAGTTTTTAATTCTTGAATAGTTAATTTAATTTGAGTAATTTCAGTTTGTAAATCATATATCGTTACTTCTTTTTGTTTATCTTTTCTAAATCGTTCTAAAGTTTTGGTTAAACTAATAATTGGTTTATCTTAATGAGGTTTCTTTTCTTTATTTATTAATAAAGATTTTAACTTATTAGTATATTTAAGTTTTAATTCAGGATTGTCTAATTTACTAATTAATTCAATTAATGAATCTTCTTCCTGTTGGGATTTACTAAGAACATTAACTTGTTTACAGCTAGTATCATTACAGCCTAATTCAATATCGTCATGATAACTATTATCACTAGGTGATAGTTAGAATTATTACTAGAAGAGTGAGTCGTACTAGATGAGGTATTAGATGGATTAGATGATTGACACGGAGTATTGTTTAATTGGAATATTTCATAAATTTGATGTCTAGTTTCATCAGTAAGTTGTAACTGATTAAGTTTATCTTTAAGTTTATATTTATTAGAATAATGACCATTTTTATCACAATTGTAACATGTAACATCTTGGGTAGATCTTGACTGCTTATTTTTCTTGTGAGATTGCTTTTTGGGCTTATCATAGTATTTAGCAGTAGATTTAGCAGGTGTATATTTTTTGTGATATTTTTTATATGGTTTTGAATAAGATTTATGTTTCTTAGTTTTACTATATTTTCGTCGTGAAGAGGCAATGGGAGGTAAACCATATTGTTCACAGAAAGCAACTAATTCATATTTACCTTTATTTTTATCCTTAGCATCTTTTTGACTAAGTTTTAGATCAATACACATTTTTAATCCTTCTTTTTGGATAGTACTAATTATATCACCATAAGTTATAAATTATCATATTTAATGATACCAGTAGTTTGACTAAGAACATCTCCAATTTTATGAGCAAAAAGATTGGGTAAGCCATTAATGAATTTTTTTTCCCCCAAAATGATTTAGTACAATCATCTCTAAGCATGGCTCTAGATGTAAAAACATCTTTATACCATCGAAAATCACTTAAGGTAGGGCAGGTGAGGTTACTAAGTTAATCATGGATTCATGAATAAATATTTATAGGTGTTCCAATAAAGTGATTGATTATGGTATAGATTAAAGTGTTGATGCCATCAGGTTTATTGGATCCTATATCTTCATCAAAGATAGGGAAATCATTTTCATCTAATTGAATTGCACGTTGAATAGATTCATGTTGGTCTGAAGTGAGATATTTATCCCACTATGATTTAAGCATACCAGTAAAATCGGAGGTTATTAAAGAAACAATTTCAAGTTAAGTATAATAAGGATAATTATTAAGATAACTATTTGCGATCATGGACAAATGATTTAGTTTTTAAAGAATTTGATTTTCACTAAGACCATCAATATTCCAGTCATGCAAATACTTAAAAATGAACTATTCGAATCCTAAACATAGAGGTTATGGTGGCCTTCCAAAACTTGATAATCTAGTCTTCAAATACTTGTATATCAGTTAAGATTAAGGGCCATTTTGGGAAGTGGGTTAAAAGCCACTTCCCAACTTTTAACCCACTTCCCCTCTCACAAAAAAGCAAAAAAAAAAAAACTAAAAAGCAGTTTTTAACCATCTTCTCAAAACATCCCTATGTGTAAGGAGGTCCAGGACCACTAAAGCTATTGTCCAAAAAAAATAATAAGAAATTTGTCGATATTTTCAAGATGTGTTTTTTAGCTCCATGCATAAAATTACCTATTTATATTTCATTTAATTTTTTTTTTATATTCTAATAAATTTTATGTGAAACATAATTATCAAAATATCCCTAATAATAATAGGGTAAAACGCATTAACATTATCATTGACAGTGTGAATGTACCGTGATATGAACATTCACACTATTAATGTGAATATTCACATGTCAATGTGAACATTCACGCTATCAAATATGAATGCTCACATCACTAAGTTGCTAAGGGTTTAAAAAAATATTTGTAAGATAAAATTGTTCAAAAAATACTTTAAATATGAGAATTAGAATTTAGTTAATAAATTGTCTAAATAATAAGACTTATTGAAATACAATAGTATGTTATGTATGAATTAAAATATAAGTACTTGAAAAAAGATTTCTTTATACATTTTTCAATAAAATTTTAAGTATATTATTCCATCCAGGACACGCAACTAACACCCGATTTGGGATGGTTGTTGTGTGGAGGGCACAACAACCACTACTGTGCAGCGAAATGGGCCCATTTCGGGGCCCATTTCGATAATCCAAATTGTTTACATTTTAGAATACATCAATTAGAACATGCCTGCAAAAAATTAAGTTAATCGGATATCATTTCCCGATTCATCCACTCACATTTTATTATTTATTTTTTAGATACAAATGTGAGTGGATGAATGGGTAAACGATATTTGATTAACTTGATTTTTTACAGGCATATTCGACTCGATGTATTCGAAAATGTGAACGATTCAGATTATCAAAATGAATCCCAAAATGGTCATATTTTATTGCACAACAGTGGCTGTTGTGCCTCCCCTCAAATCCCAACTACACCCATATTCATACCGTCAATGTAATATACTAACATAGCTTTCGTTGAATGAATGCAAATTTCAAACGAGGAAATAACACTATATTTGGATATAGATTTCAATAGAAATTTGAAAATAAAAGAGAAATGGAAAAAAAAAAAAAAATTAACTTATATTTTATTAACAATTGTCTCACCTTTTTCCATTTTTTTTTTCTTTTTTTAAATTCATACCTAAATCTATGATGCAAAAGAGCTTGATTTGTAAAAGAAAAAGGAACTTAGGTAGAATTTTACCTCTCAAACGATGTCAAGAATAACACGATCTAGATATGGATGATAAAATTCCAACACCATCAATCTTACTCAATCTGAAGTCATGGTGAGATAGATATATTCAACTTTGAATGAAGGGTGTACAGAAAAGAAAATTCTGCAGAAATACGAAAAAATCATGAAAGAAGCAACATTTTGCTTTAATACTATATTGATGACAAGAAGATCTACAAAAATATTCACAGAAACTTAAATAGCACATAATTTAAATAAAAAAAGTCTGCAAAATAAAAAGACATACCTCTAAGGTCCCAAGATTTTAGCACCATGTGAGATTTTAAATATCTTTCCTTGTCACCAACAAGATTCACAAGAATTTCCTTATCAATTTTCTTCAGCTCTGCATAGCTTAATGTCTTACCAAACCTTAACAATAAAAAAATTGAAAACTATTAGCTTTTGCAAAGTGTATTTATCAAATTGAAACAGAACATGATCAACCCATAAAGAAAGAGAAACGAAACAATAACTATCAATCAAAGTTTTGATGTAAAAGTTTATAGTGGTTTGTTTAAACGAAGGATGAGATCAAACAACAATAGTTTAAGCAAAGAATAGCTCACCTTAGCTTTTTGTTCACCTATCTGCAGATCTTGCAAATTGTAATAATGAATAGATGAGGAAATATGTTTTTAGAGGTAGGTTGACTAGGATTGTTAGTGAGGCGATTAAGAAAAATTGTATTTGTTTGATAATTAGTGAACTGGTAATAGTTCCTGTTTGTTTTGAGAGAGTGGAATTAACCATGTGAAATTCCACAAATACCCTTGTTGCATTCCTATCAAATTTAGACTTGTATCAACTAATAAATGCATTACATATTTTAATATTAAAAATATATTTTATAAATATTGAAATTATATTTTAATATTAAAAATTATATTTCATAAATATATATATATTTTTGGTACTATTTTTTTTAATTTAATTTTTTGTGGGATAAATATTATTATACTATTATATTTTAATATTAAAATTATTTTTATATTAAATTATTTTGATATAAAGAATAGTGGAGTAAAAAATAGTGGAATAATTAAAAAAATAGTAAAGAAAAGACCATATTAATCAAGTAGAGTAAGTAAATTAGGTAGGATAATAGAGGGCAAAATAGTAAATCATTCTCTAATCCCGAGGGATTGTTTTTCTAATATCATCTTCCACGGGGAATTACTAATCACATCCATCGAGACCTATCATAGTCTCAAGATATTATGAATCTTATCTCCGTTTTATAAATAAACACAATATTACTAGATCCCGCATGCATCTTAATCTAATATCATTTCCTATAATCCAAATCAAACGGACCCATAACATACCCAAAATTTATCTAGAGTCAAACACGCCCCTCAGTTAAACTTCACTTACGATATCTAAACCCAATTCCAAACTTGATTGTGGGTATGACCAAACACCACCTTTCAACTCCAAAATAAAATAAAATAAAATAAAATAAAATAACATAATTGCATATTTTTATTTCATTTTGTCTTCATTCTACTCTCTCTAACTTCTCTCTACCTTTCTCTCATTATCTCTATTTGAAATACAAAGTTTGAGAATGAATTAAATTACATGTGTGATCATGATATTAGCATGTATTGAAAAATCTATAAGTTGAATGAGGTCAAAAAATCAAGTTTAAATAAAGGATTTCATTTGTATAATGAAGCATCAATTTTTTTATGAAAATTTATTTAAGTTGAGTCTTTCAAATTTTATGATTATGATGATGATGATGATGGAATGACAATGAAACGTTATACGAAAATATTTCTTTTTGTTGATCACATAACCAAATATAGTCTATGGGGCACAAGGGCCGAAATATTTTAATGGTTGTTGTACATAAAGAGTTATGGAGACCAAAATATTGAAATAAGAATTGAAATACTTTTGTGACATGAGTTATGTTCCTATGGATATATTTTAGGTAACGGTATTGTCACCATCTAAGTCATGAGGTGAGCGACCCTAAGGCTATGTAGTGTATTGAAAAATTATATTTTTGCTTTGATTTCCTTGTTCAAATGTATTTTTTTTCTCATTATTATATTCTTTGAAAAATTTGGCTATGTAGTGTATTGAAAAATTATATTTTTGCTTTGATTTCTTTGTTCAAATGTATTTTTTTTCTCATTATTATATATTCTTTGAAAAATCTTGATAATGGTTTATGAAATTTTTCACTATGTATTAATTTTAATTCAATCAAGTTCTTATATTTATTATCCTTATTATTGACCCCAATTGGAAGGAATACGTTTTATAACTCCATGAGATTGGGATATTTATTGGGCTCTAGCTCATTATTTTTAAATTATTATTTTTTTTATTTTTTTATTTTTTTTCCAGATTTCTAGACTATAGCTGGCTTGCCTCAATTTGCAAGCTTAGATTTTCCGGAGGATGAAATGTGGGCGTTTTGTAGTTGAGGTTTTATATAGGGTCACTTTATGATGTAATTTTATCTTTTGTATTTATGAAAGAAGTTGATTGTAAATATATATTTTTTATTATGAAATTAGATGTAAAAAAATATTCATATTAGTGTTTTTAGACAATGGTGCAACAGAACTAACGTAGTGATATGATAATATTTTGTGATTGAATGAATCAATTAATATAAGATGATTGATTGAAAGATTTTATACATTGTTGGTGATGTAAATATAAAAATTATATATGTAATTATTATGTCCAAGTATTATAGTGCTTGAGGTGTGACCCTCGACGGGTTTGCCTTGTCCATGTTGGGTCGTGACAATACAACAGTATTTCGGACTGTTTTGTTGCGTATCTGCAGATTAATAGGAGGGGAAAATTTTTCGGGTGTAATGCGCACCCTTATGCATGAGAAGAGAGAGAGAGTGGAGAGATGGAGAGAGAATTAGTGGGAGACAAAGACACTAAAAATAAAAGAAAGAAATAAATATATAAAAACTTGGTGAGACCATTTCTCAACTTTTGATTTTTGTGATGCTGTATATTTATGTTTTTATTAGAATTTGTTATAAGTTTCCCGTTGTTGTATTTTATTAGGGAATTTAGTAAAAAATTCAAAAAGACAAAAAAGTGTATAAAATTTAATAAAATAGAGGTATATTTTATTTATTTATTTATTTTTCTTTCTAAATCCTTCCAAATCCCTCAAATAACACAGCGTTATAGAGAGAAAATAAATTAAATTAACAGAAAACTAAAAAAAATAAAGAGATTGGCTTTTATTTTCTAATTCCATAAATAAAATAAAATAAAAAATCACAAATTTATTGTATTCAAAAATATTGGATAATGTTAGGAATATTAAATTTTTTACCAAATAAATGACTAAATTTCTCACATGATAAGATTTACATATGAGATATTTTGATTATTTATTTGATAAAAAATTTTAAAACTATAATATTTTCCAAAAATATTAAGGGATTAGGGGGGAGAGAGTAGAGCATGTCACCAAAGAGGGAGAATTGGACTTTCTCTCGTTACGGCCCGTTTGTTTTTCTCTTTCACAATTTAAAGTGGACCCGTTTGTTTTTCTCTTTCACAATTTAAAGTGGACTGTGAATGATAAACAGTGAACATACCTCATGTTTGTTTATAGATTTTGGGAATGAATTCATAAGCCAGAGGGTTTCAGATGGGACTTGCATATTGGGATTGTTAGTCTGCCCCAACACTTAGTATTGAAAATTAATCCGTTAGTATTAGGAGAGTGATTTATTTATTTACTGTCTCCTCTTCTCTTTTTCTTTTTCTCTCTCTCTTTCTCTTCTCTTTTCATATACATATATATATATATTTCATTTGGTTTTTTCATCAACCAAACACAAGTGTAGACAAATTGTAAATTAGATAAGTAAAATTGAAGAGTGATACTTAGATCTTCGACTAAATCCGACAAAAGAGTTACAAATCAAAAGACATACATAATATACATATACATATATATATATATATATATGAGCAGATAATATATATACCTATGATCTTCTCAGTGGAGATATTGATTACAGGATACGTTTCTTCTTCACAGACTCTCTCCACTCACCATCGATGAAGATTAGACGAGTAGGTATTGGGATTCGCCACTAACTCTCTCCCTCTATGTCAGCCTTACATAAGTGAACTCACATAGTGAAAGGCAACTTTTTGTTAATGCTTTGAACACTTTTGTCAAAACTGGGGGCTGGTTTTGAAGAAAGCATTGGTTGGTTTCTTTAATAATAATAATAATAAATAAATAAATAAATGAATAAATAATGGGCTAATAATTGAGTCAATTGGAGAGTGATGGAAAAGATAGGAAAAGAAATAATAATAATAAACAAAGGGTAGTGTTATGGTGTGCAATCCCTTAAGGTTACACACCATATGCAACCAATACAAAGGGTGTAAATGGAAGGTGTAGACATAAAACAGGACAATAAACAGAAAAACGTAACTGTAAAATGTAAGTTGCACACTTAAAAAAAGTCCATAAACAAAATGAGTCAATTGGAGAATTGATAGACAACCATGTGGGTTCTGTCGGCACAACACCCCCCAAAAAAATAAATTATATATGTACATTTATTTTATATATATACATACACACGTACATATACTTCACCAACAATGATTTAGACCACTAAAAAATACATCACTAATAGCACTAATACATTGGAAATGGCAAAAAAAATAATAAAAAAATAAAAACAAGGCATAGAAAGTGGACGGGACCCACTGCCACATCATTAGTGCTTCCTTTAGTGATTCCCATTTAGTGCTCTCAAGTATTTTTCATACTTCACCCATGTACACATATAACTACGTAACAATATATATCTCTTAATTTTAAAATTTTAATTGAGTTTTAATAATATGTAAAATAAAAAAAAAAGACAGACATTACTATCACATTAGGATTCACCTCTAATTAAAATTCTAAAATATTTTTATATATCTATATATATAAATACATAATATCACACGAGATTAGATAATTTTCCTATTTCATCCACCATGTTGAAAAATATTTTTTTGAAAACAAAACAACAAGAGGAGAGTAGTAATTTTTTTAAAAAATAGTCCGGTAGACAATGTCCAATGTTTTATGTGTGAGGAGAGTAGAAATTTTTTTAAAAAAATACTATCAAACAGTCTAGAGACGATTGTGAATGTGGCTATGTTAAAATGTGGCTATGTTAAAAAATGTTTGTGGAAAAAAAAAATATTTTTTTGGTTGACAATGTTAAACTTAAAATTTTAAAAAATATAACAAAAATGTTGTTTATTAACAAATGTAACATCATTAAAAAAAAAAAAAAAAAAAAAAAAAAGTGGGTTTAAATATTTTTTTTTTTAAATCCACTTTTTCTGGAAAATGTTGTTCTTTTTTTTAAAAAAATAAATTTGAACTCAAAATTTAAATTGGGTTTTGTTAAAAAAAAAAAGAGATAAAAGTTACTCCCTCTGTCCCAAAATAATGGTCCCTTTTGGGGAATTCAACTTTTTTTGGTAGTACAATTATTGCATTTGAAAAAAAAGTTAATTTTCCAAAATTATCCTTTTGATAGTACATGTTTTGGGAATATCAATGTCATTATTGTACTTTTTATATTGTTTATTACTCCCTCCGTCTCAAAATATTAGTCCCTTATTCCATTTTTCATTGTCCCAAAATATTAGTCTCTCTTTATAAATCAAGTACAAAAATAATGTAAATTTTCTATTTTGCCCTTCTTTTAAATTAATAAACAATTTAAAAAGTACAATTATGACATTGATATTCCCAAAAAATATACTATCAAAAGGATAATTTTGAAAAATCAACTTTTTTCAAATGAAATAAGTGTACTACCAAAAAAAGTTAGATTCCCCAAAATGGACCAATATTTTGGGACAGAGGGAGTAATTTAAAAGAAGGGCAAAATAAGAAATTTATATTATTTTTGTACTTGATTTTTTAAGAAGGACTAAGATTTTGAGACAATGAAAAATGAAATAAAGGACTAATATTTTAGAATGGATGGAGTATTTATGTTTTACTAGTACGGAATCTTTTCAAAAGGCTAGTGAGAAAGAAAGACAAGAGAGATAATAGGGTGGTGTGATTTGTTTAAAAATTGAAAAGAGGAGTTTTTTTTTTTTTTTTTAAATAGAACTTTGTTACCCATCTCAGTGACAAAACCCACTACGCATAAACAATAATATGTGCATTTATCCTTGGATAATTTTACAAAATTCATTTGAAAGTCGAAACCAACATGACTTGTAATTATATTTTGACCTCAAACTTTTAGCAACAAATTTGATAAATTAATTTTTAACATAATAATTTAATGTTTAATTATATTTTGATCTCACCATTAATTGCACATTGCCTTTAGTCATGGTCATATACTAGTGCCTTACACATTACTTAGATTGAATTTATCATCAATTTTTTCTTTAAACATAAAAAATTATCAAAAATTAAAAAATATGAATTAAAAGTTCAAACTTTTAAAAAGTCCTTAATTATTGAAAAGTCCTCAATTTTAAATTTTTAATTTTGAAAATTAAAGTCCTCTATTATTGAAAAGTCCTCAATTTTAAAAAATAAGTATTCAATTTTTTATTTTGAAAATTAAGAGGGTGTTTGGAATAATTTAAATAACATATTTTGTGACTTTTTATAAAAAGATGTATAAAAAAATAGAAAATGATATGACTAAAAAAAATGCCAAATAGTCCCTAAAGTCATCAATTATTGGAAAGTCCTCAATTATTTAAGGCCTCGTTTAGAACAAATTTTTTTAATATTATTTTAATTTTTTATAAAAATTACAGGAAAAAAAATGATAGACTACTTATAATAAAATTTAAAATTTTTAATTAAAACATTTTAGTGCAAGACAAACGCGGTAAGACTCAACGTGTTTCACGCTATTTGAATTATGATTACCTCACGCTATTTGGATTATGATTATCTCGTGAGATCAGAATCAAGATGTAAGCAAGATTAAAAGCTATTTTTTGCTGAGCTAGAACCCACTACACTATGGGTTGTTTTGGGAAGATAGTAAAAAGTGACTTTTTGAATTTTAATCAAGTTTTTGGCTTTTTTAGACAAATGATTTGGGAAGTTGTTAAAAAGTGACTTTTGACTTTTTTGATTAATATTTGTTTATGATGTCAAATCATAATAAAATGACTAAACTACCCCCATTTATTTAAAATATTTAAAATTTTTAATTAAAACATTTTAGTGCAAGACAAACGCGGTAAGACTCAACGGGTATGTTTGGTTTGAATTTGGGAGATGAGTTTTAGAAATAAAAAGTACGAAAAGTTGTTTGGTTTGGTTTTTTTCAAAAGATATTTTGGAAAATTATTTTGAGAGAGAGTTTTGGAAAAAGTGATTGATTTGATGTGTATGAGAGAGAGATTTGTTTTGAAAACTTGTAAACCAAACAAGTTTTGGAAAAAAAATTTTGAGAAAATTTGTTTGGTTTGATTACTTTTGAAAACTTATTTGTAGAGAATTTTTCTCAAAAATTTTTAGGAAACACAAACCAAACAAGGCCAACGTGTTTCACGCTATTTGAATTATGATTACCTCACGCTATTTGGATTATGATTATCTCGTGAGATCAGAATCATGATGTAAGCAAGATTAAAAGCTATTTTTTGCTGAGCTAGAACCCACTACACTATGGCATTGATCAAATGTAAAATAATAATAATAATAATAATAATAATAATAAAAATAAATCCGTAATTGTTGAAATAATTTTTAAGAGTTCAAAACTCAAATAGCTCGATTTGATTTAGTTTTTATATTAAGTTTTCAATATATAGAGTTATGTTTTGAAAGACAAGTTTTTTAAATGAGTTTTGAAAAAGAAAAATTATTTGGTTATGAGTTTTTAAAAAAAAAATTGAAAATAGTTTTGAGTTTCGAATTGTATTTTGAAATTGTTTTGAGTTTATTTTTTAAAAATATTTAAAAAATTTCTTAATTTTATTTTTTTAGGATACATATTTTTTATTATTGATGATACAGGCCGTCCCGAGTGGATGGGTCAAGCTAGCCCAGGTTCTTCAGGTTCTGGTTTCGGGTGGTGATTCCGTCAAATGACCTGCAAGCAAGTCCAAAGGGGAACGGGGCAGTCCCCCAGTGAACCCTCCGGCGAGAGAATTAGTAGAAGGAAGACAGGAAAATGTAGCGAAGAAGATGGAGAAATGAAAAGCTTAACCTTATTCTTGTGCTTCTCTTGTTGCTTATATCCTCTGGTAATCATTTCACTGTCCTTTGTGACGTGCCTCCCTTTTCGCCGAAAGCCTGTGCCGTAGCTTACCTTGTTCAGGGTGAGGGGGTTCTGTTCCGACGGGGAGGTGTTGTGGTAATAAATGCTGTGATGGGCTGCATTAATGGTGATGTGTTGTGGCAATAACTCTGCAGATCTTTGTCTACTGATGTGGCCTGTGTCTCATCTGTCATGTGTCCGAATGCCCTTGGGTGATATAGTCCAGGTGGACTCCAGCTGTCCTGGGCTTTGCCAATTAAGTTATGCTACGGGTCCGAGGTGATGGGTTCGGGGCGGTTTGCCGTGGGCTGTATGCCTCGTGGGCCAGTCCATGTCAGTAGTCCCCCATTTCCGAGTGCAGCTTTAGTCCAACGAAGGGAATAGTAATAAGGAAGAGAAATTCGAACCGAATAGCTGACCGTGAGGGTGGCCTAGCAGAAGGCGTCGGCCGAGAGGCGTGTCGACCGCGAGGGTGGCCGAATGAAACGAGTCGACCGAGAGGCGTGCCGACCGCGAGGGTGGCCGAGTGAGAAGGGTCGACCGAGAGGCGTGCCGACCACGAGGGTGGTCGAGTGAGAAGGGTCGACCGAGAGGCGTGCCGACCAGGACGGCGCGGGGTTCGAAAGGAGAGGGGGTGGGTTGGGACCATGTGATGATTTGAAATGGAAAAGACAGGGGAAAGGGGGGGGACAGTGGGGAAGGGGAGAGGACAGTGCATCGTGGCCATACACGTGGTAATATCGTGGGGGAAGTGAAGCGTTGGAGCAGAAATGAAACGATAGGTCACAAGTGGGGTTTTGAAAAGGCGGCTTTGGCGGTTGATTTGAAAGGTTTTGAAACGGGCGAAAATTAATGCGGATCCACGGAATACGGGTAAACCGTGGGGTGTTGGTATAATGCGTTTTAACTACCTGTGTACAA